ACACCCATGTTTACCATTGCATTATCTGGGAAGTTTGCTTTCAATCTCGGCCATTGCATGAACAAATCATCAATCGTTTTCGATCAAAACTGATATTTTGGGGACCCTGGGGACAATGAATTGTTACTGTAAAGATGGGAGAATTATAAAGTTAATGACCATAAAGTTGAAAGCATATATTGGCGTATAGGCTGGTAACTACCATAGGCAGATCAAGGCAAGGATCTAGAAGATTCGGGATTAATCTCAATTACTCGTAGAGGTATATCATATCTGAACATGGAAACGGACTTTTTTCAGAGTCCTTCCTTCATATGAATGAAGACACAATTTAGACAGCAATGAATTACATTTTATTTCAATTGAAATTTCAGCTCTCCACTGATTAGTATTTACATACGATGATGTGTGTGTGTTCTGTGTATAGAGGTGTTGGATGCATACAGCTCGCTGAATTTCGAATTGCTTTCACCTATATATAGGGCAGAAATATTTTCCACCATTTTGGATCTTGCAAAGAATTATGGGTTGAAAATTGGTCCACAGAAGGCGGTTGGGGTGTAATATCTTTTCCTTACAGCGCTTTGCTAACATCAACTGCGAACCTCTCCTGTTTCAAGCAACGTTATTTTTTTTAATTACCTGATTATATTGTTTGACTGTAAAGTAATTTCATCAGAGAGATTGTAGGAACCTTAAGGACAGGCAAGTGTATCTGATTTGTGGGCGAGTTTGAATTGTATGCTGTTATGTTCGTTAAATTACTGGTACATATATTTACATCCAGATTACTAGTGATACATGTCGGAGTAATTTTTGAATCATTTATCTGTGAAGCATTGTAATTGAAACATGCATTATTTGTTAATCGCTTTATTCATTTCGTTTTATACAAGTGCAATAATACTGTATTCTGACTTATACATTGTTTCAAAATACGGATTCTGAAGTGAGACGACGACATGAATGCGAACGTGGTAGAAACCACCACAGTGTGTTCTTTTATTTCAATTTTTATATTCATCCAATTATAAGCTTTCCAACTAATTTTCTTACACGGCCAAGAATTTATCGATGTATATCAAGTTCTGTATCATTCTTACAATTTATGTTATATCGTTGATACCGTGTTGTAAGTCAGCGGGCTTTCCGTTAGTAAATAAATCCCGAGTTTATTAATAAGTCGTTCTTTTGTGGTGATTGGTGTTGGTTGTGTAACAGATAATTTTGCATACTAATTTTTCGTTATATTTCCATAATCACAACGTATCATCCCCCACAAAAGATGACCAATAAGAACATCGTTAAAAGTGGAGCTGTCACAACAAAAAGTACGTGTCTGAT